CTCTCTCTCTCTCTCTCTCACACTCACACACACACAGAATGATTGACACACAATGGCAGTAAATCTATGCAGTGCCCCCCTGTCTTGCTTTTTGCTTTCTCTCTCCCAGCTGAAAAGACAAGGGGGGAGGTTTGTGTGTGTGCGTGCATGTGTGAGAGTGTGTGTGTATGTGTGTGTGTTATAAGGAGTGATGTCCAACAAACAGAGCCAAAGAAAAAGAAGTGAGGATGGCAAAAGATGAGCTTGTGACTAACACTGTTGCTATCCATATACTCCTAATCCACCCCCCCACCACCCTCCTTACCGGCTCTGTTAGGTGCAGGAGCCAATCTAGAGAGAGAGAGAGAGAGAGTATCAACCCCTCTTATACGAACGTGATCCTTGCGCTGGCTCAGGCCCAGAGAACCACTGATCCTGTTATCATCTCACCGGATAGAGAAAGAGAGGAAAATGAGAAGGAGAGCCGAAGAGGGAAAAAAAGAGGAAAGAAGGGAGTTGCGTTATTTATTGTTTACTCATGCCTCTTGTGTCCTCTGCCAGCGCTTTGACGACCTATAACCCCCCACTCTCTCCACTTAATTCCTCTATAATTTCAAACCTCATGGGACCTTTACACCGAGTGTGTCACTCATATCAGCAGGTGTAGAGTCTGGTGATAGTCAGCCATTAAAAGTAAGGCTCGAGGTTGTTTCCCCACTGAACCAATGCTCAAACAAATAAATATAACATAACACACACATAAATCAATGATATTTGATCTTCTTCATTTGTTGGGAATTGGAATTTATAAAACAAGAAGTAAGTGGCCAACACAAAGTACGAAGTACGTCAAAGTACGAGTGAAATCAGTTTTCTTTTGTCCAAAATTTTTAGGAGAAATGTACATCTATATAATGTTTCTAGAAATCTAGCCGCCCATGGAAGTGCAGTGTCAAATTTGGTTGGATCTGGACAAGTTAGGATGACACAATATGTTCAATATTAAGAAACTTTGAATAAACAGGCGACAAGCGCTCTATAGCAGCAGCGGTAACATCAAATACAAATGAATCTCCAGTTCAGGGTTCTGCTTACTGAGTTGAGCTTCACAGGTGAACAGCTCTTTGTGCAGAAGCTGTGGTGAAGAATCAGGGTTCTGTGGGCTGGCTCCAGCAGTTGGTTTACTCGCTGTAGCTAAGTCACTGCAGGTCACTTTAACAGTTTCAAAACAAAAGTTGCAACCAACATTACCACAGGCCAAGCAAACAACCTATTCCAAACAGGTAGGTTTAATATGGCCACTGCACTTGTAGAGGGCAAATTGGAAAACAGCAAATCCAGAAAATCCTATCTTAAAGGAATTTCACATCCATAGCACATACCTATTCTTATTTCTCCTTACTCTGATCACACAAGTGTACTGCATATGTGTGTTAACACTTTTAATGCTCATCTGTCTTTATATTATATTGTGTTAATGTTTTAAGTTGCCTTGTTGCAGAAGAGTTTCCTCTTGCAGGACAGTTAAGATCTGAACTGTTCGGGT